GGCGGCCGGAGATTTCTTCGCCCCGACGGCAGCCGGAGGATTGTTCTCCCCCGTCGGTGCGACGGCGGCCAGCGGGCAGAGGTATGGAATGGGAATGCCGTCTGCGGTTACAGCTCCAGCGAGGATTGGATTAAATCTGGGAGTGAGAACGTACTTCTCGTCGGCATCGCCGGAGGAGGAGATGGGGATAGGGAGAGTGTGTAGGAGAAGAGTGAGGTTGGCAAGATGTCAGGCGGAGGGATGCGGGGCTGATCTTACACATGCGAAGCATTACCATAGGAGGCATAAGGTCTGCGAATTTCATTCTAAGGCTTCTATTGTTATCGCCGCCGGACTATCTCAGCGTTTCTGTCAGCAGTGCAGCAGGTAATTCTCATTTCTCATTTAATTAACTTCATTTTTTTTTTAATTTTTCTTCGGTCGTTAAACGATTATACTGCCAAGTTTTCTAGGTGTGTCAACCGTGTTAGTTTCCGATGCGTGCCTGGCCGCAAGCATTTTTATTGAAATTAAGTGGTCTTCTACTTGTGTAGAATAGGTCGTGCTTATAATTTAGGGTCTGTTAGTCAGTTGCAGCTTATTAAATAATCTTCTGATGATAAGATGATTAAAAATATCCTACTAGTAAGCTAGGTGCAGTCATTATTATAAATTTTTATTCTCTTGGAAAAGAAAGATCACAGCCAGAAAACTGTGTGTGGTGTGAAAATGCTGTTTTCACTATTTTAAAAACGCATAAAGTGTCAAAACGTAGTTTGCCCATACAAGCCTTTAGAATTCATGTTCATGCTAAAGGTAGAATTTTAATCTATAATCACATTCCTTAAATTTAAATATAATTGATATGTTAATAGCTATTAATATTTATTAAATATGTTTAATAGTACTTATCGAAGTAAGGAAATACCATGAATATAAATGACACATTAAATAATTTTTCAATACGTATGTGCTATATTCAGGTTTTAGTTATAGAAAGCAAAGGCTTTTATTTATAGGGCTAAAAAAACTTCTGATGAATGATGTATTTAATAATATTTATAACAGAAGCATGACAAATTTTTTACTTCTTAGAATGTATATATGACTAAAACCGTTATACTTTATTCATAATTTTATTGAATAATAAATAATTTTCACAATATATGGGCACTTGAATAGTTTTATAGAAGATGCTAATCCCAGAACAATGGAAATCTGTCTATTTTTTATTGTAAAAAAAATTGTTGTAACTCAACTTTTAATCACTATAACAAAAATCAAACAAGTTCGTTAATCTGTTTTGATAGAATTTGAAATTCATATGTAATATTAGTCGATATATATGCTTGTATCTCTCTGATTTGCATTCTTAATTAATTTTTGCGCATAAATCCATGCAGGTTTCATGTTCTATCTGAGTTTGATCAAGGAAAGCGCAGCTGCCGAAAGCGTTTGGCAGACCATAATCGCAGAAGAAGAAAATCACAGGATCTGGCCACAATCAATAATATAAACAATAATAATAATGATAATAACAACAACAATAATAAAAGCACAGTTGCTACAGCAAACAACAACAACAATAACGCAGCACTACTTCACTTTGAGTCAAGTAGCAGCAGTAATAACAACAATACGATGGCCAACATGGGCAGCTCTATGGATAAGCGCAATCCTGAAACAGGCTCGGCCATTACCCGAGTCCCCTCTCCTGCAATGGCACTGGGGCTCAATTGTAGCGCCATGACAGTTTCTCCGGCACTTGCAGGGCTATCTGGTTCGTCAACAACGACTGTAAGTTCGCCGCCGAGAGTCTCATTCTTCTCTCATCTTGGCGACTTCCGCGGACACGAGCACCGTTTTCTTAGTTGGGATGATGGCGATGATAGTTGCAGCATTAGAAGTCCATATCAGAGCAAGTAGTGCGTTGCAGTTTTGATGGGGAAGTTAGTATTTTTAGTTGTTTATTTTCTCGAACAGTTTGCATGCTTGGTTAGGTGTTCTTAAGCTTATTCTGTAGTCTTTTTAATCAATAAACGATGTTTTCTTCATGGTATCTTGTTTTAAAATGCATTGTCACCTAAGTTGATGAGATTTTGCTCAGACTTAGGCCGTTCTATCAAATATTTTCCAGGATTTAATTATTCTAATGTTTACTTGATTCTAGTTAAGTTAATCCTAGCTTCTGTGATGTCCTGACAAAGTATTCTATGAAAGTATATCACGAGGAAACCGAACTGAGATCTCGAAGAATGAAAACGAGGCGTCTTTTTTGTAGAGATACGGTAATAAAATCGAGGGGCGGAGGAAGCTTCCTCCTTAAGTGAAAATTATTGGCTTGCTTTGCCTTCCTTCTGGCAACGTACGTGCATTTGACAATGAACCGTAGCCCTTTTTCTTTCTCGACATGATTGATTCACTGCTTACGCTGAGACCCGCCAGCATTAAACTTGCTGGAGATTATTAAGTTGGAGAGCGTATGGAAAACTTATTAGATGAAGAATTTGTGCTACAATGCCCATGCTTCCATCATCCATTTAAAAGGAAAATAAAGAGATTGCAGATGATATCTCTCCTGAGCTTTTTAATTAATAGAAGTAAAAAAGAGGGAATGCAGATGATATCACCTTAGCTTCTACATTGAGAAGGGGAAAAAAGAAAGAAATTTCAGATGATATTATCATAGTATTGGAAATCATTATGAAAGGCTTAAGCAATTCTCATTCCCATTTCTTTTTTGTTGGGTTGAAGTGCATCTATAGTAAGCCTTTGATGGCGTGACCAACAAAGCTTTGATTCTGCATGGCCACTAAACCCTAACACAACCAGATAGATGTTTCCCTCCATGATTTGAGACCAAAGGGGACCGTTTGACGATGACAGCCACAGTTGCCCTATAGGGAAGAGCCAAGTCACATTAAGGTTTGATTAGCCTTCAGGTAAACTCTTAAAGAGGAAAAAATATTACATCCGGATAGGACAACGGCCCAGATGCAGCGGAGGAGGGGAGGAATCGGACTTCCGCCCTCCTCTCTGCATCTGAGCCGTTGTCCGCACATCCGTAGTCCGGATGTAATATTTTCTCCTTAAAGACGTCTAATAGAGTGGTAGAGAGGTGATCCGACAATAGAAAAAAGGAATGCAAGGTTAATTACAAAACTGTCAGAGAATAACTCCCTAAAGATATTTTGAAATAAACACCAGCAAGACTAGAAATGGTTATAAATCCTTAGAGATCTAATTAAATGTAATCACTAACTGTATATATTATTTAGAAAAATCTTTCTTACCCAAGAAGAGAAATTCATGTAATAAGGTTACCATTTGAAATCCCAAAGGAATGGAGCAACATATATTCCTTAAGTAAGTTCTATATAAATCTATCTTCATCTCATTCTTTCCTCATTTCATAGTTAGAAATTTTCTTCAAATATGAATCCACAAACAAATTAAGACTCAACATACTTTTAAAGTGAAGTAAGACTGAATCATGTCACTGATAAGAAGAGAAATTACACAAAGAACTGAATAAAACATTAGAAGAATATTACTAACATTCACAACATTGGAGAGTCTAAATATTTTTCAAATAGAAGTTAAATATTTGAAACCTTGAATCTATAATTGCTCACGTCGAATTAGCCCAAAGGCTGAGAAATCTTCTTTTCCATCATCTCAGAGCTAGCCAACAGTCACATCTCCATAAAATAGTATAATCTACTTCATACTGCCACCTATGTGAGAAGCTCCGAGTCAGGCACCAAAAAAAACTTCAATTAGATCAATAGATGGATAATCTACCCTATGCGACCTAGTATATGGTCAAATTTTGATGACATCAATCATGCCCTTTTACAAAAACGATGCATGTTTAGGAAAGGCAAATGCATCAAGTGAAGGGACAAGTTTAATATTAAGAAAGGCAAGCATATTGTCATTTGGAAAAGAAGATTGCCAATGTGAACGCACTAGCCACCAACTTAGAAACTATTGTGAATCTCAATAGCTTAGACAATAGAGGCTAGTGTCACTATGATATCAGTCATGACATTGAGGAGTGGTTCCACCAGAAAATTTTGATGGAACGGCTATTAAAGTGAGTTTATTAAAAAAATTTATCAAGTCGAGAGCAATAACTCAAAGGCAAGAAAATAAGTTAGGAAGAGGCTCTTAATGAATCAACTTGTGCTTAGATGATCAACTTCCTTATTCTCGTACCAACCATACTTGGGAGAGATAAGATAGAACCATCTTGCCAGGTGAGCCTCTGGAGACTTAACTAAAGAGAATATGTTTAGTGATTCCATCACATTTTGAAGTAGCAAGCCAACCACTTATTCTATTTACTACAGATGAGTTACATACCAATTAAATCTTTTATAATAATTCCATAGTGTTTACAACATTGATCACTAATTAGTAGATTGCTTGCATTTTTGATAACATGGGGAGTTATTTTAATATTCTTTTTGAAACTATTTTTTGTGAAATGAATCTAATTCATCACATTTTTCATGTAGCTTATAGGTCACTTGTATGGATTCTTAGGAGTGAATAAAAAGTCCATGAGAATCATACAACTACTCATTATTTGGACAATAGAAGGATATTTAAACAGCTCATAACCATGGTTGACTTTGTCATAGTTGACTCTCCAACAACATATAAAGCCATCATTAGCCTTCTGCTCATCAACAAACTCAATGCAAGCAATTTGATGTACCTTGTCATTATAAAATTCACAGGTGAGAATGAAATGGTCACCAAATAAAAAGATTTGGACTAATCACATAATTACTGCTTGCAAGTGGTAGGTATTATACAAACGATGTTTTGTTACTTGAAAAATTAGGGGTAATTAGCTTCAAGGTAATTAAAGTTACCAAAAACGTTTTGGTTGTGGAAGGCAAATCAAGTATAATTTTATTAAATGATATTTTTTTATGCTTGGTTCCAAGGATAGCTAAATGTTGTATTATATGAGTCCCACGATATGTTCACCTATGTGGCCAAAAAAATGTTGGAGTTAACATCTATTTCACATGCTATAAGTTGAATTTCAATCTCACTAAAAAGATAACTCACTTTATGTGTCAAACTTGTCAATCTCATATTTAAGTGATGTTATTTGAATTGGAGACTCACTTTGAAGATAACTTACTTGATGATTGAAGAGGAAAAAATAATTTATGATGAGTCATATGAGACATTAAGTTCAGTTAATCCATATGAACAATTCATAAACACATGTGAGCTTCCAACTAGCATGAAGGACTATGGAAGAATGATTGACGAATTCTTCCAACGATTATATACCTTTCTATACCTCATACTCTCCCGCACGTTGAGCGGATCCAAAAAGAGTTTCAAGAGCGATGCGAAAAAAAGAAGCCCCTCTGAGATCACGCAATCGTCCGAGACCACACGATCCTGTGCCCTAGCCCGATTGCTATTCTCCGCTCTACGCTAGCTTTTCGTTGTTTTTGTGCTCCTACTTGCTACACCTCCCATGCGGGCGATCCTCTGCTCAAGCCAGATCTTGGTGTTCTTTTTTCTGTTGCTGTTCGCTGGCTCTTGTTCGCTTCTTTTGTTCTGTGTCTGATTCCTAGCAGATTTCTTTTTTTCCATTTTCCTTTCAGATATGTTTCGCTTTCTCATTCTATCTTTGGTGTTGTTGTTTGCTTTGGTTATTTTTTATAGTTTGCTTCATTGTCCCTTATTTTCATCCTCTACGTTGGGAGCTTTCTTGCTTGATTACTCATAACTATGCTTTTTTTTATGTAGTTTTGGCTTTTTTCTTTCTATCCTGCTCTTTTCCATGGCTTTTGCAGTGCCGTACTTCAAAGATGTTGCTTCAGATAAATCTTTTGGGTCTAGAGAAGTTTGTTTCTCTGATGAGTTTCAACAGCAAATAAAGAATAGTGATAATGGAGGTTTGCTTCGACAAGCTTCTCACAATAATGGTAAACCTGAGCTTCTTTTTACTCAAGAAGAAACAAACATTCTCAATGAACCACTAAAGTGTACTTTAATTGGTAAATTTTCATTTACTCATCCCAAGTGGAGGTTATTCGTAAGTTCTTTTCCGATTTGCATCTAGTTGGAGGATGGAATTTAGGGTTAATCGATAATCGTAACTTAATGATTAAGTTGCAGCTTGAAGAGGATTATACCTCTCTATTTGCTAAGAAAATCTTGACCATTGAGAAGTGTTACTTGAAACTTCTTAAATTGACACCTAATTTCAATCGTACCAAAGAGATCTGTATTGTGCATGTTTGGATTCACTTTCTTGGATTGAAGCTACATTACTTCAATCTGAATGTTTTTTATTCCTTGGGATCAACTTTTGGTAAGCCATTGAAAATGGATGTTGCTACTTGTATTTTGTCTAGGCCTTCGATGGCTAGAGTGTTGGTTGAACGTGATGTTACGTGATGTTACTTTGAACGTGATGTTACTTCAGTTTTCCACGATTCTATTTGGATGAGAATTTCTAATGATGGTTATTGGCAGAAGGCTGAACAAGAATTTGTACAACATTATTGCACTAATTGCAAAATATTTGTTCATCTTCTTTCTCATTGTTATAATGTCCATCCTGAATTGCGAAAAAAGAAAAAAAGTAAAGAAAGCAATAAAGAGATGAATAAAGAGTTGCATTCTGATTTAAAATTCACTAAGGCTAATCTTCCTGGAGAGAGATCTTTGCATTCTTTTGATGATTAGTTTAATTCTTCTATGAATGAGAATAATAATATGGGTACTATATTGGTTGATAATTAGTTGGTTACTGAAACTGCTAATACCTCTACTATTACAACTGATTTGGTTAAGAATGATAATAGTGATACTACTATTATGGTTCAAGATACTGATAATGTTGGTACCCTTGAAATCTTACAATTAGATAGACAAATTGTTCTGCATGATGGAATGACTACTCAGGAATGACTCGAAATGAGTTGGAGGAGGATTGGATGATTCAAAGATCATCTCATAAAAAATAATTTAAAGGTGTTTGTGAATTGCATTATATGAATCCAGAGGCTGTTC